GCTTATTATCCCAGACTGTTTCTTTAGTGGTTTCCATTCATTTGAAATCATCCTGTACAGGAACAAGCTTCTTGCTAGAGCATTCTACAACAAGTGACTGCTATGAAATCATTCACTGTATTTCAGGCTGGACGAGGACACAGGCGATGCAGGCATGCAACTAACAAGCACATAAATTGTACAGAGTATCTACATTTAATACACATCCAAGTAAGGCAAAAATATACATTTTACAACAACTAAGGTTACGGCGGTAACACCTCAGACAGGAACTGGACAATGCTCTATAGGACCCACCTTAAACAAGACAACAGTCCTCAAGCAGCCTTTTAACCTCTCCCAGTAGTCAGCTTCCTTTCCAAACTCACACAGGCATCTTCCTGAAAATTCAGGGTTTAAAATATGTTTCTGTTAATCTACAAAGTGGAAAGATTAAACATCCTCTTATAAAAGGGGTATAAATATATCTGGGTTTATGTACAGTGATAGGCAAGGAGAATAAACCCACGCATAGAAACTGGCTAAAAAGCATGACCCAAGATTCCAGAAAATTAATTACACTGAATGGAAAACTATTTTCATATATGTAACTTGGGTCTAAGGCAAAGAAAACGATGGAGCTCTGGTCAGAAATAATGCAAAATTTGCTAGATGGTTCATTCAGTCCAGGTACTTATACTAAGAAGTTTACTGAGAACAGCACGCACAGAAAATGTGTAAGAATCTAGGCAGAGACATGAGACGCTTCTACATTTAACGCTGGATTAGATTAAAAGCTTCTACTGCCAGAAGCCTGTTGTAATTATCTGTTAGTATTACCTGTCAGCTCACAGGTGTCAAAGGGCATTTCAGATGGAGAATCCTCATTGGGGTTCTCAGATATAATCTGCAAATGCAAGGTTGTTTCTTTTGTTTACCACAGTTTGACAGGGCCTTTTAATATTTATGCTTGACAAAAATTGAAGATCTATGCTTGATTTAATTTAGTCTTTCTGAAAGGTGCCAACTCGTCACTGACTTCTGGCACACAGGGAGAGTAAGTTTGCACCCAAGAACTCTCCTACAGCCTCATAAGTAAAAATCCTCCTGTCAGTTACAACTGAAAGCGTACAAGTACTTAAATCTTCCCTTTAAACGCTTCTGCAGGTCACACTAGCTGACCCTGTCCTTGGGGCAAATTGTAAAGCTAAATGTCCTAGACCAGGAGCAAAGACCCTAGTCCTGTATGCCAGAGTGGGGAAGAAGGATGTGCCCCAAGAACTGCCTTGAGGCATTTCTGAAGCTGGACAAAATCTCACAGATGAGATGTTTTTGTTGGTTTTTGGTGGTTGTTGTGGGTGTTTTGTTGTTGTGTGGGTTTTTTTCTTTTCTTTGTTTTTTTGGGGTTTTTTTGTTTGGTTGGTTGGGGTTTGGGTTTTTTTTTTTTACCTCATTCATTCTCCTGCTTCCCATTTCCCCTCCCGGAGAGCATCATACCGTCCCCCTGCCCGTTCGGCTTGCAGCCCACCTCTGCCAAGGGGCGGCTGTAACCGAGCACCGTGCCCTGGCTGCAGCCCCCCTTACTCCTACAGCAGTAGGAGGGTCTCGCCTTTGCAGCTGCCCATCCCCTACCACGGGGGACTTGCTCCCTCCCCAGCTGTGCCAGTGTGAGTTCATTTACAAGCTCTCTAAACTAGACCTGTGAAGTGACTGCCCCCCCCCCCCCAAATACATTTATTTAAAAAAATGAAGTGTCTTTTTTGTTTGTTTAACTATGGAGTATTTAAGATCTAGCTTGCAGTGCCCCACAGACATCTGAATTGCGACCCTGCACAATAGAGCAGAAAGACAACACGAGGGGATGGGGACAGGCGCCCCAATCATCAGCTACGAGAGCCCCTGCTGCAATGGTCCCGCGGGCTGCTTGGCAGAGTGGCTTCTGGCAGCGAAGAGGGGGACGCTGGAAGTCTCCAGAAGATTAGGCCTAATGGGGCGCAGGTGGGTGCCTTAACAGCGTATTTTCAGGTGACTACAGTCACTGTTAACTCACTCCTCAATGTAAAGTAGCTTCTAAAATAAGACAATTCCTCAAAGTTATCATATTAAATACGAACAAATTCTCTTTTCACAAATGCAAATATACACCCACATATACAGGCTTTTAGAACAGGAACTTTATGAAACAATCAAGTGAACTGAAGCACTTGAGAACTACTTCAATCTACAAGCTCCAGGTAGACAACTGGATTTTACTCAGTTATATTAACCACCACACATTTATCTATAAAGCATTCTTCTTTATTTAAGTTAAACAATTTTTCAAGGATGGTTTCCATCTATAAAATGAACAAAGTACAAGCTCTGTACAGCAGACTTTTCAAACCAACTGAAAAAACAGTTTCCAAACTATCTTTTGAAAATCTGCAAACAAACGAGATCACCATTCTTGCTCTGAAGACGGTAAGAAACGTTCTCAGGAGACTCCATCACAATTTGCTTCAAGGGCTCTTAATTTATCTTTCAAATGGGTGAATTTCTTCAACATTAAAACCCCCCTAAAATCACAGTAAGTAACTTTGGCACACTGTCATGTAAACATAGCAAAACAATACCACTTCTTGTCTGTTCTCTCAAAGAAAAGCAATGCTGTCTTTAACATACAGCTCCTATATTAAAACCCCTGTGCACAGCATCCATGGGGAATTAGTGAAAATATTCCTACTTGATAAGATAGCAGTTGACATTAAAGACTGAAGAGGTGGAATATGGATTTTTTTACAAGCACTTGAAGCTTCAGAGTTAAGAAGCAGGTCAATATTCAGGGTTACAACTGCTGATTTCAGTTAGTACTACCCTTACTATGATCAAAGTTGCAAATGGAAATACCTCCATGGTAGAAGCTGAGTGGTTGGGTTTTTCTTCTTTTAAATTTTGTTTTTCAAAACCTCAAACAGTTGACTTGCTGCTGAGCCCATATTTCACCATTTATTTTGCAGAATATGAAGAAATCTACCACTATGTTTATGAATCACGTTCTTCAAGTTCTCAGCTAGGTTAAAAGGCTACAGATAGGGAGAGACTAAAAGCTGAAAAATAGTCTAAAACAGGCAAGTTTTGGAGAAAGTGGACTGTAAAGAGGCAAAAAAAAAGTATTAATTACTAATAAAAAAAGTCAGATGAGGGATGAGAGAAACTGGATTTAATGTCCCCATCCAAAAGGTATGCAACGTACTTGCAAGTCATAACTTCAGACACACAAGGTATTTACGGGCACACTGACCGGCACAGGTAAAGCCATTTTGCTCAGAAGAGTACCACCTCTATACCGAACATATAGACACAGCCAAAGGAAACTGAAAAAGAAAAAAATCAGGAACTACTCAACTTCCAGGAACAAAGAAAGAGGGGAACTGTACCAGCATGCCACAGTACAGCAGATGTTTTTCATCTCATGATCAACCCTTACATTTTTCGGAGACCCATCATCCTACCAAAACCACGTCCTGGCACTGCACATCTGCACTAATTTTTGTGAACGCTGTCTCGCTTAGTAATACTTATTTATCCTTCCTTTTGATTTTGAAAGCTCATTGAAGCATTTGCTTTTAATAAAAAAGTATATATAGTCTATGCAAACATAAGAAAGGATAGGTCAAAGTTGGGGTTAACTTTGACATTATTATTTTAATATAAAAATGGCATCAGCTGGACTGAAGCTGCAAAATGCACAGGTTCTATGGTTAAAAACTTGTAGGATCTGCTGGTATCCAGGCCGATTCCCAGAGCCAAGCCTGAATCCATTCAAAAGCTCCATTTAAAGAAACAAAACGGAAGAAAATTCCCCAGTAGTAGGTCTATAAATTAAGCAAGTGCAATTCAGAGATATTACATAGCTGCTCATCCTTGCAAATGAAAAATCAGATCTTGTGCTGTCGACAGTGACATTACTACTCTATGTTATTTCTACAACTCAAAAGGGGAGTTTGAGAAAGAAATTTTTCTCATTAGGGCCCAGAATAAAACTGTGCCGAACCCACATGGCTGCATGGAAGATCTGCACTGTTTATATAATTTTGTAACAAAGGAAGAAGTATTTTTAAGACAAAATACTACAGAAATGATCAACACAAATATCAAGTACAAGTCTAACGTTATCCAGAGCACATGTAATGAATTTCCAAGTTGGAATAAACCATCCAAGCAATCATCTGTGCAGATGCATTGGCTTATTCTGATTATCTTCTTTCTCCTCCTGAGTTTCATGATCTCCAGTGAGGGCGAAGTGTTAAGAAGTAGATCCAGTTTGCAAAGCAAAAGCATCCAGTGTTAGCACGGACATCATACTCAGCAGCACAAAATCCGCACCTTCATAAAGTTTCACTCTCCTAGCATTCCAATCCAATTTCTGGACACACATATGTCAATCACTTTGTTGATAATTATAAGATGATGAAAACTGATATAAATTGTTGGGAACCGACAATATATATACTTTTATATATTTATATTTAGAGTCCATCATAGAAAAGTTCATATTCAAATTAACAAGTACACACAGGAGAAAGAAAACTTCAAAATGACACTTCTGTTTCTGGAAACGACAAACCATGATTTCTATGCAAATGGAGATTTCAAATTACCTTCTCCTAGTAATTTTTCCCACCCTCCCCTCCCACACCCTGTTCCCCACAGGTGTTTCTTCAGATCCTTTTTTTATCATACATCAGTTGTTCCTAGAGTTAATTATCTGCTGTGCAAGTACGTAACCGAAGACAGAAAGGAACCGTTAAAGTCTTCACACCAAGAAGGAATTGTGCTGCAGTCATGTTCAGTGACATCTTTGCAGTGCTCCAAGTCCCCTGGACCCCTGGTGTCTGCTTCAGCACTCTCCTACTTTCAGATAAAGGTGGAATACTGAGGTATATAAGTTCCGTGGAAAGTTTTAAGAAATACATCAGTAATTCAATCAAAACTTTGCCCAACGTCTATGAATCGAAACAGCATTTTGCTTGTAAGTCCTCCTACTGCTGCAGATTAAGTGTGAATTTCCACTGTTGTGACAAAGAAGGACTGCAGATCTCAACGGTGAGACCACCATTTTTGGCATTTCGGCTGTCTAGACAGAGGTTGCTGCCAACGTGCCTCAGTTTAGAATTGCTTTCAATTTGTTCCCATTTCTGGAAGAGAAAATACAGTTATTGAACCGGAAAAGCAGAAAAAGGAGTTCTACATCCTGTTCTTTGAAGTCTTCATAAGCTTCCCTGGGTCATGCTTGGGAAAGCTGTGAAAACTGCAATAACAGCATGCAGTTTAGATGTTCCTTGAATAAGAGTATATAAATTACGGCAAGCCTTGCCAAAACAACTGTTCATTCAGCTAACACACTGCAATAGATACAGAATACACCAAATCATTTTCTTCTACACACACTTCTCAAATATGCTGTCATACCATGTTACCTGTGTGAAACCTGCAGTCTGAAGAAAAAAGAAAAAAATCAAAATCCATCCACATATCACTACAATTCTGAACACAGAGGAGCAAGAAGCACAATCACTAAAGACAAATTTACAGAAATCTGTCAGACAACTTTTAATTATACAGAAGACAAGCAGTTAATCTGTGCTGTCAGAAGCTCTTTGCCGAAGGTGATGCCAAGAATAGAGTAAACCCCAAACACAGGATGTTTAAAACAAAACGATTTTTCTGTTGTACTTGTAACACACTGTGTCTTTAAACCTTATCAAGAAAATCTTGCTTCCCTTTCCTGAAAAGTGAAAAGGATATTCTTCCTTCATCAAGGAATAGCATTTCAGTTATCTGTCTGCAAAACTGAGATACAGAAGCAAGGAAGCTGGCAGATGATCAGAACTGATGACTTAGCAGAAAGAGATGAATTGTTATACGACTAGATCAAAAAGATGGTATGACTCTGCAAATGTGACTTTCCTCAGGCATGGGAAACAGATGACATTACAATGCTGCATTAATAGAAATGCACTGAAAGGATCTAGTGCTGTTATAAACAGGTCACAGCTAACAAGAAGAAAGCCAAACCACACTCTTCTGAGACACAAACTATATAATCTTCAAACTTCACCAAAGGAGGCCTTTCAAAAATACATTGTGGAATATGTATTCTATTTCAGAAAACAGACGGGGCAGCTTAAGGCTGTTATATACCAATGCTGTTGGGCGACACCTTTATATAAGGCCACTGTTGTGATAACACCTCTACATGTTGATAAAAGATTGCCACTGGCCTATGAAACGAGGAGCTTGGTACACAAGCTTATTCCTGACCCAGATGTCATGCATCTGGACTTCACACACACAAACAACAGTGAGACAGAGTGAAGAGTAGAACGGAGAGCAGAAACATTACCGGTGCACGTTCTTGCATTCGCATTCATAGCCCTTGTTTGCCCACTGTTTGCAGAGTGCATTTGCGACATACTAACCTGTCTGCTGTCGTTTTCCCAGAAGTTTTATTAGTGAACCAGGTGCTCTGTCCACAACAGTAAGGCACAAATCCATATGTTTCACTGACTTGTCCTTTGTTAAGGCCCATTCCTAGAAAAAGGAAGAAAAAGTGTACAGAGCTGTGTATACTAACATTTGCACAAGATGCACATGCTACCTCTGCATATATAGCAGAGGTTAAAATCCTGTAAATGGCTACGTGTGAGCATTCAAACAGTTCCTTGTCTCCCGTAGAAGCAGGAGAGGGAAAAAGTTCTTTCAAACACTAACTCCAATTGCTTCAGCATCCCCAAGTCAGCTCAGGGCTGGGCTGGCTGTTTGCTCCCTCTGCTGGCTTTACACAAGTACAATGGGCAGTCAACAGGTCCTCAGGTTTAAAATATTTGTCCAAATATTTGTCCAGCTATATTTTTATCTCTATATATGTCTCTGTGTGCGTATTATACACCCTTCATATCTTCTTGTAGGAGAGGTTTATATGTATGTTTTACACACACACATACATGATTGTATATATAAAACCTGTAAAAGCTTGGGCTGCTGCATCACTGGCCACCCTACCCACACGTTAAACAAAGCATATGTACCACAGAGGGGAAACAGTAGTTCTTAACATGACAGAGACCATCAGAAAGCAATACACAAGTCTGCCAAACTCAAGGGCAGAGGGAGAATGTTACTTCCTATCGAAGGCATGATGTGCAACAGAAGTTCTTTTAAATGCATTTAAATATGCAACTTCTTAAATAGAGATCAAAGCAAAGCTGTTCTGTATGTACCGTCACCCAGCTTGTTTGATCTCAGCATCCTTCTACACAGGCCCTGATCTTGTGCTGATGTTCAGTTTCTCTCCATGCCTTTCTCCCCAAAGTCTGGCCTCCAGGATTCAGATTAGTCTTCATTTGTCTAATTATCTGTTGAGGAAGGAAGCTGATCTACCAACTAAAGCCATGCTAATTATCCAAATCATGCTCACCGCTACTTAAAACGGCATGATTAGCTTTTCTCCAGCAACTAGAGAGCGCTGTGTAATACAAAATCCTGGATACACAGAGCCAAGCCTGGCTACATTTAAATGTTATTTTGCAAGCAATGAGCGCTGCAGAAAGAAATTAAATGACTAATCCCATCCCATTTTATTTTTTTAACTTATTTTCTGATACCATAACTGAATTTTTGGCTTGCATAATCACTTTTCAACTCAGCAAATTTAACAATGATTTAATTCCTTTGAGAACAGACGCTCAGGAAACAATCAGAACTTCTATCCCACACAAGTAATCGCCATTGTACAGGGAGCAAGCCGTTAGATGGGGACCATATTATGCAGGTACTACAGTAATGACAACAATGCAAATCAAAGCAAAGGCAGGAGAACTCTTTATATCCCTTTACTTGTTTCCCATGCCCATAAACTGAAAACTCTTCCTTTCACTCTCAATATGTTAAATATTTTCTGCTACGCTAATCTCAAATTACCTGCCTTCTCAGTTTGGTCCGGTTTGTAAGATGTCAATAAGAATCATTAATAGCCACTTTTAGCAACTTAAGGAATTAAGTTATTTTCAGAGTTTATCTGGAACCAAATGCCTCTGAAAAAGATGGCCCCTTGTAAGATTTATACTGAATAGTGACAGTTGAAAATACTACCAGGCAAGTAGTAAAACTTGTGTTTGAGAACCCTGCAGTCAGAGAAAGTTAGAGCCTTGAAAATATTGCTTTAATACATCTTAACCCTTCCATCAGAAGATGGGAAGAGCCCCAGCCACAACAGCAATCACGCAAGACATGAACACATTTAAAAGCCAAAGGTACCACTTCACAAAGGCTCCAAGCTCTGCTGCTGGAGACATCTATGTTGACGGCCCTTCATAGTACGAAACAGTGTACAGATGCGTTCCTCTGGTGATCAGGTGACTAGCTCATAATGGGGATAAGATTAAGCAAGTTTTGCTACACCAGAGGAGAAGAAAAATCGGAAGCAGTGCATGTGCTCCAAGCACAGGCTAGAAATAGGATAGTTCTGTGTAACAATTTGAAAATGAGGACATCTGAAAAAACCTGTGTCATAAATCTGAAATACAAAGTTAGTAGGACACCACTAACCTGAAAACTTCCTCTTGCACCTGAGTGCATTTGACTTTACCTTTAGCTCTTTATCATAACCCTACATACTGTACATAATAGTCAAATTACAATTTCTTCAGCTCTTTAGAGCTGCATACTTACCTTCCTAATCACTGAATTCCACCAACCTGTTGTGGGGGGCAGAAATCCCATTTTGACTTAAATTTTGCGTTTTAAATTGTGTTGAGCGTAAGCCAGCATACACTCTTCAAATTGTAGGAGAAGGTCTCCACATAGCTGTCTACTCTTAATCCCACCCCCTCCCCCAAACCCTCTTGATAAGAAGAGGTGCAAAACACACAGTACAGATTTAAAGTCTCTGGTTTGTTCCCTATTCTTCTTCTCTGATACTCTGTTCATTCCCTCCAGGCTGGTATGAATTCTGCTTGGACATAAAACCTGGTTTTGACCTGTTCTGCCTCTTAATCTGTCTGAATGTCCTCTCACAGGGACCTGTTCAGAGCAAGCGTATATTAGTTTGTCAAGGTCAGCTTCACAGAAGAAGCCACACAGAAAAGAGGGTCAGATTCAGGGGAGGGGAGTTTGAAAGAGGAAGCCAACTTTGTGTATCTGTAGCGAATACACAATATCACCAGAAACTTCCGAGATTTCTGCACCAAAACAATTCTGACACGTCCAGCCTTTCTCTTAAGAAACACTGTGGTGTTCTGAAAGATGAGTGTACTTTCATAAAAGTAATCGAAAAAGCCTTCCCAGATACAGCCTCTTCAATGCTAGGGAAAAGAGGCATATCTCAGATGTATGATGGCAATGCAGTCAAATCAACACAATACATCTTCCAGGAAATAACTTCTTTATTTTAGGCTTCAGCTGATTTAGGGTTTTCCTCCTCTACTTTAAATCAGAGAGGGCAAAATTCTGACTACTCATTCAGTGCTAGACTGGTCAGCCTCCTATTTTAACAGATGTACTTGAAGCATTAAGCTTACATTTGATTTATAGTCAGGTTGATTCTGAGAAGAATTTAGTAACAAAGCAGCACACAAAACAGTGAGCACGTATGCATATATTTCACGAACGATAACTAAGTCACAACTGCATAAATAGATTCTTTGAAATAATTAATGCTCTCATTTACAGATTTGACATATCTGTGATTACTTTAAGAGCAGGATTAGAAAGGATTTGTTGAAACACTCCCTTTATGGTGAGTGAATAAGATACGACATTTAGGCACCTCTGTTTTCTAGAGGAGCCAAAGGGGGATTTAAGACTGATTTTTTTTTTATACCCTGCTGCTGCAAATTGGAAATGACTAACGTAGCATCACAGTAAAGCATTCTTCTATTTTGCTGACCTTAGGCCATATGCTTAATACAGCCCAAATATTTTCTTAAGTAAAAATCCTGTCCCCCAGCCAATTCAAACACCAATTCATTGAAAAAAGCTTTCTATACAAGTATAAAACTCCTGGGAAGGAAGTTACTGGCCTCTAGTTTAAAATCAAATATTAATAGAGACAAAGGAAGGGGATAACCTGATGCACACTGAGTGAATCTCTGGGCTCAGATTCTAATCCTGAAAATGCAAAATTGAGGGAGAAATTATTTAGCCAATGTTACAACAGATCTGCTGATTAGGGTTCATCTTCCTGCCATCAGTACACAGTACCTGCTTGAGTTAAAGAGCTTCAGTTGTGGTTTATTTTTTTAAAGATCACATACTGTAGAAAAAAATTAATGGCATACAGACCTGGTTTCCCCCAGCATTATGACATTCATAAACTCCAACAACACCGTCTGCAAAATGGCCCAAAGTGTCAAGGCAATTGGTACCCTGCTGCAAAGCCCCAAAAGCTATATCTTGATGATCAGGTACCCTAAAATAAAACCAGAAATATCTGCTTAATTCAGTTTGTTTATTTTTTTTTAAATTCCTTGTCTTTACTTGGAGTATTTTTAAGATGACAGGTTAAACATGACTGATGACTACTATCTGGAAATCTCAATCACCTTCTGAGGAGGGAAGGCAATTATCTGATCATGAACTCAAACATGAGTAAACTTGCAAGCTTAGAAGTCTTTTTGTATTCTGTCCTATCAGAGCATGAGGATGAACACACAAACTCAGCACAAAAAGCAAATTAAAGATGACTTAACATCATCATTTAAGGTCACTCAAGCTTAATGCTATCAGTTAAAAGTTAAAGCCCTCTTGTTTTTTCAGCCAAGCTAGCTTGTGGCAGAAATATGACATTACACATTTTTCCCAGACTGGTTTTACTGAAGTGTTAGAAAAGGGTTCAGGAATTAAAAAAACCCAATGTTTTGCTGATATCTATTTTCCAATGGTTGCACATAAAGTGTGCTCAGACAGTATGGGAATACCTAGGCAAACCCATTCAAAGTACAGTTGTGGGGTAGAGAACATGAGTTCATGTCAAACAGTAAAGCAAGGGCATATTAACTCCTTTTAAAATTTCAGACTATAATATAATAATTCAAGCCAGCAGAATGAGCACATGAGAGATGACACAGAGTAAGACGACATTACACTTAAGTAATGCTTATGGTAGCACATTTCCAGGAGAGCTTGCAAGATGTATTTTTTCTGACAAATTAAACAAAAATAAATATCCTCTGGCACTTTTAAGAGAAAATAAAGAATAACTAACTTCCTCAGCATCGCCCTGGTTTATGAGACTCTTTAGTATGTGTGGTTCTGTACATGTTTCACTAGGGCTGCAATGGTTGGTGCTTTTGCATTCCAAGCCTGTCTGCCACTAGCGGTTACCTGACTCTACGGACATGAAGTGTCCCCAGGAAAAAACAAACACAAGTATTCTCATAAGCCACTCACAGTATCTTACCATTACACTACCAATATTAGGTTGACAGCAGACAAACTGGTTTATAGACTCAGATCTGACAGATATACTTAAGTTATTGAACAAAAACCTTTTTATCCTTTCAAAAAGTGAAAGCAATGTTTCTCTGAGGATTTTTCATTAGTTAGGATGCATTAATATTACAGAAGCCATTAGCAACGTTACCCCTCATTTATCTCCTCACTCCCCTCCCCCCCCAAAATTAGTGATTGTCCAGTGACAGAGAGCAAGAGGCAAGGAGCAGAAGAGTCAGCTTTAGAGTCTTAGACGTGTACCCTTGTCTGCTGACCCGTTACTTGTACTGTACTGAGATTCAGTCTCCTCACTCAACTAGCCATGTACTTGGGTGAAGGCAAAAAGGTTTAAAGGGACGACAACAGGATACAGAACAGTGCACTTTTGAGCAAACAGCTTGTGTAGGAGACTAACTTCAGGCTCAGGTAAGTCGAGTCCTTTGGACACTGTTCTCTAAAATACCTGCTACTGCAGCTGTAGTTGCAGTAAGTAGAAAAAGATAATACAGCTTACCAGGGAAAAATGGCTCTTCAGGAACAGAACTTGTAAAAACCAAAAGCAAATAAGCCTGCATGAGGCGTCGCTTTCACAAATAAATTTAAAAATATCCTTTACATCCAAGGAAGGAGAAAGATAAACTGATGATTTCATTTCGGGGCCAGGGGGGGCGGGGGGGACGGAGACGACAGAACGGACACTCCATACCATCTCTGATTCAGCCAAAACTCACCGTAACTCAGGATAAACATTTTCAAGATACCACTTGAAGGGTTTGCAGCTAAGTCTCTTTCTGAGTTCCATTCGGCTTTGAATACTAGAGGGAAAGAAAAAGGAGCAGTTTTCAAAGTCAGGCTGCTGTCTTCATGTATGTTAAGGAATACACAGAAAACTCAAGAACAATAGAACTGTAGAACTATATCTTAAAGAGATAGCACATGAGAGCTACTATTGCTTTCACCTCAGAAGGTGCTGTCTCATGAAGAATAAATGACTAGGGCAAAGAAGCACTTGTCACTTACTTGCCATAAGGTACATTCCTGGCTGAAGGCACTGCTGCATAATAGAAGTTTTTATACTCATCCATCCAGACTTCTGCTGCCCTGCGTGTATTTCTAGGGACAATCATATGAAACACATAGGTTATATTTTCCCTAGCTGCAATTAAACTATGCCATTTATCCTTGGGTTGATTTTAACCCTTGCTAGTACTACATCATCAGCTGCCTCAAGCCAGGCAGAGGATTCCCTATTAAAGACCCAATTAAGAGAAAATCATTAGAGAGTAACACAGCTGAAATCTATGTCTTTTCCACACTCATCACTGCTTCAGGTTTTCATCCAGAATTTAATACACATCTTGGAGTTCTTTCTGCAAACTTCACCGAGGTTGTTAGGTTGTTGTTTGGTTGGTTTTTTTCTTTTTATAAGAGTAACTTGACAGAAGCCAAATTCAGTGAATGTTTACTTGGATAAGCAAACTAATTTGAAACTTAAAAATCTCAACAATTGGCAATATTTAATAATGTCTTCTACCTTTCTGAAAACAGGTATGCTAACACTGGCAAGACATATTTTCAGTCTTCATCCTATTCCTACCAACAGAGCACTTCAAAGTTCCAGAAAGACATAAGCTGTTGTGACATTTAAGGCTATGAACCAAGCGAGTCTGCTGTAGCTGAAGTAACAGAGGAGAACCAGTAATTAGAAAATATTATTAATGCTTTAAAAGTCAAGAGATGAATTATTGCAATAAAAGTGAAAAAACACTAACCCAAATTCTTTACTTCTAATCAAACACATCCCTAACTAAAATACCTGTATTTATGTAACTGGTGTCTTTAAATCTCCTGTTGGACTGCAAGAGGGTAATGTCTTTTTCCATTCCCTGCCTTCCATGTAAAACTCATTTACTTCTATTGTTTGTAATTTTATGCTTAGAAAATTAAGTCTTATTTCACTTGCAACTACCATGCTCTGAAGCTTATTTTACATTTGGCAGGAAGTTCATTCTAAAGCAACTGGAGGAAACTCAGTCAGCCAATAACTTCTTTAATATGGTTTTCCAATGCAAAAGACAAAAAATAGTCAGGGTAAAGTGAGTTGTTCTTGTGGCTCACTGAGAAGGAAGGACACGAGGAAGAAAAGAAAAATCACAAGACAGACCTCAATCATTTTTTGTCTGAGGACTGAACTTTTCCTCGCAAAGATTTCTTTAAATTCTTTGTAAGCAAAACCCTATTCAATCTGGATTCGAGAGTTATTTCGGTTTACCTTCCCTTGCCATCTCTCAGGCCTGTGTGAGTGCCAGCCAGCCACTCAGCACCTGCCCCTGTGGCTTGCTCAGCGCTCAGCTCGGCTGCCCGCAGGCCAAACAGGTATTGGTGGTGGGAGAGGAACTATGCCGTCTGCCAGGGTTTAACGACTCCGAAGGCACCTTCAAGGCCAGAACGCACGCCTGCGTCACGTCTCCCCACACTCAAGGATGAACAGTTCAGGCTTAGCACGACATGAATATGGAAACCGTGTAGATGCTGAGAACTGCCTAAACTATAAGACCCCAAAGAAGGCAGGGTGCTGAGGAACGCAGGGCAGGGTGCACTCAGCACTTAACGCTAAGCCACAGATAATGAAACCTAGCGCTGAGTGATCAGAGGTAGCTTTGCATGTAGCAGACTGGGGTCTGCAAGGGTTATTGGCTCGTTTGAAGCGGTGTATTAAAGCGGGTGCATACTGGTCTAACAAACCCTGCCAGACACAAGCTGTATCTGCCCACACCACACAGCCAAGGAAGTGGTCTCCCCTCTCATGAAACGGGACACCCGGTCTCTCATCCAGGGTCACCGGTTTGTTTTGGCTGCCAAAAGGCAGTGCATACTGACTAGGCAGCTAAAAATAGGACGCTTGCCCAGAGCACTCCAGAACAAATTGCATACAGCCAAGAGACAGATGATGGTATAAGCTAACACGTCCTGACTGCAAGACCAGCACAGATTCCATGCACCAAAGTTTCTTGGCACCATGGTCCTACACGTATCTGATAATACCTGTATTACAAGGGTATCCCATGACCTCACATTTCTCATTCTTTCTTGCTAAAATTGATTTTAAGGTATTGTGATATTGGTTTGATACCCAAAAAAGGTGACTGAGGAGGAAACCACACATACAGCAATGTGTCAACCCTGCTTTTAAGTGATATGCAACTTTTCTCGGTCAATTCAGAAATAATTCCACAGAAACAACGAATTCTAAGGACATTTCAGAGTTTGAGACATCTAGACAGCTAAGGTCAAAGGTAATAAACCACTTGCAGAGAAAGTAGATCTAGAAAGGGATGTAAGTACTCAAGATGCTAATTTGCAGGCTCCATCATCCACGTTACTTAAACACTATGAACTTGAATCAGAATTGCTATTCTCATTCTACAGAAGAGAAACTGAGGAAATAGTTCAGTATTTCAGCTATCACCATATATTGAATCAACAGCAAAATTAACAGACGTATTAATCCAAGCCCTTAATACTGCAGTTTCTTAGGTCTATAGAAAAAAACATTTGTGAACATAGCACAGGAAAGGCAAATATGATATAGAATGAAGTTGCCCCACTGGCACAAATGCCAGGATAAGTCTACATAATCATCTGTATATCACATACCAATCATGTATTAGCAAAAAGCAAGCAAAGCATATTCATAACTTAAGTGTATTCTGGCTCTTAGTGAATGATGAAACTGTTTCTATAAAATGAAGAATTGAGAGATAGTTCTGGAAATAAAGCCTTCTTTAAAACCAAATAAAAACAAAGTTCTCAAAATTGATAGAATGCCAAGCTAAGCATTTCCTTCTTTTCCAGATTCTCAGGCTGTGTCTACTAGAAGTTTCCCTTTCTCAACTCTCAGGTTCTTCTCTCAACCCGTGTAGTTGATTCAAAGTCATTAACTTCCTTTTAATTAATATTTTCCTAGATATTTGCTAGATAATATTGCAAGAATTTTGAAAGAAAAGATCCTTAAAATGAAATTACTGCCACCTGCTGATCATCTGAAGAAATCAAAACATTGTTATTTAGCTGAAGACTTAACAGTTACCTTGCAAACACAGTACCGCTCCCACCAGGAAACGTGTAAGGATGCTGTTTGCGGAATACGTGACCCACTCTGCTGCAAGGGATGATTTCTAGGCTCCCACCGCATTGCCAAACCCTGAATGAGATCTCTGAAATAAAAACACGAATGGAAGACAAACATCACAAAACACTGTAATTTTGTGGTATACTATTTACAAAGGAGGCTTTTATTGACTATTGCTGAGAAGATAAGGTAGTTTTCTGAGAAATTGCAGGATAAACAAAGGCATATCTAATCATTTATTATTTTCCAAGCTCAAGAGAAATAATCATATTAACTTGTAAGCAAAACTGTATGTCTTCTCTCAGAGTTTACAAGCATTTCCCAAACTCATAAACCATGCTGCAATTTTCCAGAGTAAGTTAGGTCTATATGTACCATTACTATGCTTTATCTAAAGGGTAAGCAACAGTTGATACGCTTAACAGGTAAATTAATGATATAATAATAAAATTTTTCAGCTAAAGATGGAATAACACAGTGGACAAAAATCAAGGCATGATAAAAACAATAGATTCGAGCTGCTAATTTACTATAGCAGATAGCCAAACACTCCCAAATGCTGGCCATGGAAGGAGTTGTATCAAGCCAATCTTGATTTGAAGACAGACTGACTAAAGATGAAACTTCTGTAAACTGAAGGTTATGGATGGTAAACTTCTAAGCCAATCTAGTGAGCTGACCCAGTTAGTGAGGACAAGAGGATCTAGAAATATCTATACACCTTTCTCAACTTACGACATTCAAACAGCAGACGTCACCTAGTGCTGACAGAGAACTCTTCCTCACTTACTCCAAATCAACACAGTAAGAAGGGTGCTTCCAGTATCACTCTTTCAATTTTGATGATTCCCTGTTTAGTCCAGCAGCTGCTACCAGCTACTGAGTGCTACCCTTAGTTTCAAGCCTCTTCATAATCATCTAGGAAATGATAATCTTCATAATCATCTAGGAAAAATTTCTTCACCAAGAGAGTGGTCAAGCATTGGAACAGGCTGCCCAGGGAGGCAGTGGCGTCATCATCTCTGGAAATGTTCAAAAAACATGTGGATGTGGTGCTTCAGGACATGGTTTAGGGGGCATGGTCATGTTGGGTTAACGGTTGGACTTGATGATCTCAAAGGTCCCTTTCAACCTTAATGATTCTGTGATTCAGTATCTTTCCACAGATTTAAAAAGATAATAGTAATAGTACTAAGCAGGTCTAATTTAAAGTCAGTGTCTTTATCTTTTAAAACTTATACTAAGTGCCATTCCTTTCCTCAGAAGCCTTCCTGCCACATACACAAAATAAGTCATATAAATAGCATTATTTCAAAAATTAAATTAGAAAAAACCAAACCCGAAGGTTAGAAAGCATGGCTTCTTGATGGTCTGTCCAAAGAAAGAGGAGGAAAAAGAGAAAGAGGAGGAAAAAGAGAAAGAGGAGGAAAAAGAAAAAAGAAAAAGAGTTGCTGTGATTTCAACTGTTGACAGTGCAAGTTGACTGCCTTTCTTCTGAATGGTCTTTACTTTTACAAGGATCACTTCCTATTTGTTTTACTTCAATGACAAATGGCATTGGGGCCAATTAGGCATATTCATGAATCCTAGACAGTCCACATAATCCCATCTACAGACAGATGATCTCCAAAAATATTAATGACAATATTGTCTTTGCCAGTAAGTTACGGTCTTGATTTTCCAGTTGAATTAACATGGGACAACAGGCAAAAGTAATTTTTAAAGCAACTGAACATGACATTCTCTCATTTTCACAGCACTGAGTTCAGTCTTATACCTCTTATTTTGAGCTTAGAATGAAAAAAAAGTAACAGTAAACGACTGGTTACTGCTTCTATTAAACAAGTTTGTAACAAAAACACTTCTATGTTTCTACCAGAATGTTACACATAGATAGAAGACTTCAGACTTTCCCTTATCTAGCTCAAATTTGATCTTGTACTGCTCAAATTATGAAAGCAGAGGAGCAATAGTTTTCTTGTACCACTTTGAAGCATTATTTACGGAGTTTTGCTAGAAAGTTCATACAGTTATTAGCCCAATGTGAAAGGATGCTGCACTCAGTGAGGTCAGCCTAGTGAAAGAAGACAGGGAGATCTCATCAAAGATAAAGGCTTTTGCATTAGACAAGCAAGTGCAGACTAAATGCCCAAAATCTAGTACTGGACTTACATAAGTATTAGGAAATACATGCCTCTGAAATGAGGTTAAGTGAGATTCTGGTTAAAAATAAAAGTCAATGCAGTATGCCTAAAGCTCTTCTTTAAATGATTCATTTGAAGGTTTAATCCAAAAAGTCACTGTCATCTATTGAATGTATGTAGGCATTGAAAAAGTATTTTTGTTTTAGAAGTATCTTCTGTCAACTTTTCTCATTATTCATAGCTTCCTCTATTGTGTACACTAATTTGATGAATTCTCCCTCCATAAATTCCCAGAAATGTAAACCTACATGTATATTTTCCAGCATCTTAAATTCTGAAGAATCTCAAAAGAAATGTGAAAATGATGAAAAATAGCTCTATGGAAAAGAGAGCAAAGGACTAGTAAATAGGGAGACGGAAACTAATTCTTATTTGCACCAACATGGCTTCTACTCATGCCATATTGAAACAGTGGGAGAAGAAATTTTACTACTGTAACAATTTCAGTAGACAGAGTTTTCATTAAAAAGGCATAAATATCATGTCAAACATTCTTCAATTGCATGAGATCGTTACACCTCTCAATGAGAGGTTTGCTCTTTTTATTGTAGTGTGTCATCAATATAGAAGACAAGGAATGTCTTACTCGCTCCCTGATTTTAGCAAAATTATTAAGAAAAGCCTACATTTTCAAATTAGACCCAAACCTTCTAATGGTCCATCCGGTTGTCCGGTGTACTCCGATTCTCCTATGCTTATCAAAAAGCATTGTAAAGGTTCTGGGAATTAGAGCTTACAGCTTCAAGACAAGACTGAACAAACCTTGATCCATGTTTCATAAAGCATGTGTTAGCAGCCACATTTAGCAACAATCTGAAAATGCACCGTATCTTCATGGTAAGAGCTGTCTCTTGGCTAATTTAGGCAAAATGCTGCGGGCTCATCTTGAAATTTGTAAAGTTAAGACTATACTAACATGGGAACAAGATCTCATATAAAAGCTGCTCTGTACATACTTGAAGGAAAAAGCATAAATATAATGTATAGAATTATTTTGCAAGTCTATCTACTAGTTATAATAAAGTTATTTGCTTGTAATATCAAGCCACTGATCCAGAGATATGCTTGAGAGTAAAGAGGCCTGATGAGCGTGCACATTTACATTTTAAACCGCGCATCACAGTCTTCCAGAATCTGGTGCATGTGTCATTTATTGCCAATTAAATCATATGCCATGTGATTTTCACTCATTTTCAGTTAGTCTGGCAGCTACACACAAATCATTAGCTCTCTGCTGTAGTGACTGACTTTGCCTTTTCAGAGAGCAGAGAAAAGGCACCCCAAAGTCTCCATC